TAATTAAGGGAATAGGGTTTCCGATATTGCAAAGTTATATGTTAAATCTAGCATGTGTTAAAAGCATATATTAATAACGAACCTAAGTATGAATAAAATATTATAATGTATACAGTATATTGGGTAATTTATACTCATTAACTTATTGATACATCTTTTAGAGCAGTGTTTCCCAACCTTTTTTGTGCTATGCCTCACCTAAGCCTTTCTAAAATTCTTGTCTCCCTAACATATACAGCGGTTATACGGTTAACTTAAACTCTGGACGAGTCCATTTTTGAATTGCCCCCTGTGGAGCGTGGTCTCCACGTTGGGAAACACTATTTTACAGTGTTCTATACGTGAATAAAATTGTTTGTCCGGTAAATCGAAGGTCTACTATACTTCAAAAATAATAAAGGTTCATATTTAAAAATAAAAATTTTTTATTTGTTTAATAAACACCATGAATGCTTTCATGATATAAATAAAAATACAAATTATAAAAAGTAACAAATACATATATTTCGACTTATATAATTGAGGAGAAAAAACAAGTTATTGGGCTGCAATTTAAAAAAATTGTAGAGACCAGAAGTCACATGATTTCGATTCAAATTTCCCCAGAACAATTTACATAGATGACCGACATAACTCTGTTATTCTCAGGAAAAGTATCAGATGGCAAGCATATATTTTACTGTATTAAATAAATGAAAAGTATAATTAAAATTGCAGCCCGACATTGTGACAATTTTTGCTCTTATTCTTTTGCATTTTGAACTACAAATGACGAAGTTAACAATGCTGTAATGTATATTAATTTAATTCATAAAATTTCGATACCTTAGGATAAACGTTATTAAAAATAACTGCTTTTTGCCTATGGTACAAAGTATTATCTACGTCAATATTACAGTAAACTAAGTAAATTAAGATGTTTAAGAAGAAAAAGGATTAGATGCATCTCAAATATGATATAAAAATAATAAATTAAAATAGTTCTGTACTGAAATAATTTCATAGAAAAGAAAGTTGGCCTGTATAAAACGTATCAAATTATTTAAAATTAATTATGAAATTCGATTAAATTAATGAATAAGTCGAAAAGATCTTACAAAAACGGTATGTTATAATAAAAATAACGAAATAAGGAAATTACTTTCCTTATTTCGTTAATACTAACAGATTAAATGTTAATATTTTATGTAGGTTACTAGAAGCTAATATTTCAAATAAATTATTTTTAGATGAAATAATGCATTATTGATGATGAAACACACTCTAAACATGATTTACTACAGTATTATTTCTAATAAATATTTTATAAAAGAGACAATCAAAAGTGGAGATCACAATGAAGACATTATCGACAAAATCTGGCCCTTTTGATGTATTTATACATGCTTAATATTTCTTTTATAAACAGAATAATATCTGTTAACAAGCATGGCATCTAGAGTTGGATTAGGATAAACGTGATTTGACAAGTCACAACACATTTCTCCTAACATATTGCATTAGGATTGACATGTGAGAAAATCCAGAACATTTCTGTATACTTCACAACTACTTATTTTTATAAGTGTGCCTTTAGGGATAATCATAAATGACTTCATAAAATATTTCTTTATTTATTTTGGCATTGCTTAAATGAAGATATAGTAAGTTTGTTGTGACAAACTACCAGATATCTGAAATGAATTTCATGGTTAGACACTTCAGTAAAGATCTCACTACGATTAGTGTAAACATTGCAACTAGACTAATGTTTACGGTAGACTATACTTGCTGCAGGTGACTATCTTAATTAAAGTCCGCTTCTCTGAGTCAAATTCAGTTGCTATTAACATTAATGTAAATAGATAAATGAATTTTCAGACGGTAAATAAAGAAGTCATTCGTCGAAACTAACAAAAGATTTGGATTTTCTCGATATTAACGCGACAGGAATTTTGATGTTAAATTATGTATTTAAATTTAAATCAATGTAATTAATATACTTAATTAGCTACCTAATAATAATTTTACGATCGCAAGGTTTGCGTTAAATTAATAATATTTAATAAATCTTAAATACTTATTTGTTGGCTTTTCGTACTTAAAATATAATAGGTTTCTTCATTTATGCAAATTAGTACAGATACAGATTGTATAATGTTGACATAGTCGAAGCATTGGGCACGTTAACTTCCAACAGCCAACATAAACGAAGCAAATTGTCTATGTCTTCATGGTTTACTACCGAGAATTGCAAACGAAACTTAAGGTTGGAAGTTCTATAAACTATCTTCTGTATTCTGTTCGAGATGCGAAAAAAAACTTTTACGATCGCGGTAATAAAGTTGTTCAAATGGATTTAATATTATAATTTTATCCGCGGCAGAATAGAACGGAATCGTAACTTTTTTAATTTTTAAGAGTGATATTTAGTTACTATAAAACTGGCATTATAAGATTTTCTGTAGTTTTAGCAACACACTCAATCACTTGACGAGTCGAGTAATTGGTTAATTGGCAATAACCAGGTTCAATTGAACGATGAAAGTTATGGCCACATAATGTGAACCGGACCGGAGATTAACTTCCATTCCTCTTTTAATATTCTTATTAATGTTGTGGCTTTTAAGAATTTAAATTGCCATTTATTCATTATAAAACTTATACCTATTACATACGATTATAAAACTTTCAATTTAGAAATTTTTATTATTATTATTGATATTAAAATGAGATTTTTGAGTTTTTCAAATCTGTAATAATATATTTTTCACTTGGATTAATTACAATTGATATCAAATTAAATAATAATAATTTAAATATTAAACAAACAACTTTTTAGAAATTTTATGTATATTTTTTTAGTTTTATAGTTTTCTAAAAATTAGTTTTTAAGCTCATTTTATAGGAATAAAAATGTAAAATATTATAATCCCATTTGCTGTATTTAAATGGCTTATCTTAATTTTTTGAACTTAAAAATTTTTTAAACAGAATTTTAAAAACGTTTTTATTTTTTCCGTCCTAAATATAGAACAAGAAAAACAGAATATTTTCGTTTAAAATAACACACCCACTTGAATCATGATTGGCTTGCCAGCATTGATTGGCATTCTACTTCATATTAAATCCAAGCTCCTAGTAACCTTTCAAGTAATATTTTCTTTAATACTTTTTAAAATAAATTAATATCAGTAAATCACACATTACATAGATCATTATTATATCATTTAATTACAAATTTTTCTTGTCACCTAATCTAACGTTTGATTTTAATTATGATTAACTAATGACGTTCAATGCTGGTCATTAATTACTAGATGTCAATGTGATGTTATTTGTGGAAATAATTTTAGCGCTTGGGACCATTAAATTTATATATAAAACACAAATTTATAGAAATATATCTAAAAGCCCCTAATTTTAATTTTTAAAATAATAATAATAATTGATTTATAATTTTATTTTAAAATAAAGTTTGATGTTTTATTTAAATAACATATCAAATTGAATTATTATGTATTCATTTCCTAAACAGATATGTTAAACAGAACGACCGAAACCACTTGATCTTGCGTGACGTCACGCATACCAGAATTGATATACAAATAAATGAAAAACATATCTAAAAATATCTCCCCTGTCCTTGTAGTACAGAAAGACTTGAAGAAAAAGTTAATATGATTTTAAATGTGAAGAATATAAAACATGCAAATGACTTTTGGACATTTTAAACATGATAAATAGATCTAATTAATATTTTTATTATGGCAATAAATTAATCTAGCAGTCAGGCTATAATGTAATTGGATGTATTGTATATTTAAGTATTCATTCTATATCTGTTGTGCATTTTTTCATTTTTAAAATTGTTTGATAGTTAAAAAATAAATGTACTATTTACATAAAAAAAGAACAATCTCAGTTTACAGTAAACTATAAATCCTATAATAGACAGTACATACCACAAGGTAAACTATGCATTTTAAAAGTTAATTTGAACTGATATTAATTTATTTTTTAACGTAAAATTTAAGTAAAATTCCCACTTTTTATTAGAGAATGATGTTTCTTGTGTGAGAATAACAATTTCCCTCTTGATGACTTATACTCTGTGACATATATTGTTTTAAGGACGGTTATTCCCAACTTTAATCATATATTATTTATCAGCAAGCGTCAGGCAGGGAATAATTGTACCTCTGAGAATCTGAAAGATATAATAGCTATATGCCATCATCCAATTGAAATTTTTAAGGTTTATGTCTATCGATGCAGAAAAAAACACTGTCTGGGCACGAGATAAAGTAATTGAAAGTGGTATCTTGTACTTTACATAATTTTGGTTGTCTCGCAAATGTCTTTGCGTGCACAGAATTTAAAGAGAAGTGTTAAATTATCAATAAGTTTTTTCCCTCTCTTATTTTAATGCTAAAAAGATTTATAATTATCTTTATTCTGTTTAGAAATTAAAAATAAATTCATTGTTATAAATTATTAATAAGTAGAATAATTCGTGTTTTCACTATACATATATTCTTCTATATATCAAATTAAGAATATGCTGCAAAGAATACGTAAGTAGTTTGCGTGTACATTACACTATTAACAATAATAATTGAGGTTTACGCAAAGTAGCACAGAGGCACAATCACAACATTGTAATTAGTAATAATATAATGCCTCTTTCACTGCGATGAAACAGGCTGTCATAACTTCTATCTGTTTTATGATTTTAAGATTATTTTTAAGTATTAAAAAAAAGGAATTTTACAAATAGAATCAACTTGACAGATGTTATTATCTTCTAATCACTTAAGCTAGAAATAACCATATATTACGCAATAAATTTAGTATTTTTTCTCCTTTTTTTCTTTTGGAATCAATTATGGAAATGGCAGTGTCGCTAGTCGGTTTGAGAAGCGATGGCGTTGCTTGCGGGTAGAGCGCCCTACAGTGGCGATTCTTGCCAATACTAATGCCCCGTTTGTTAGAAGGCGTACAACAGACAGAGATGTGCTACACACAGACCGACACGGAACTGGTGCCGTTCAAGCTGTCTCCAGAAAGTCGGGTCGATGTTTAAGTACTGTGGAGGTAACATTGCCTCAGATAACGTTTAAACGAGTGATTTTTTGGTCAGAGTCGTTACAGCTATTCCATAATCTGTTTTCTTCATCGACATCTGGTAAGTTCTTATCTAAGTAATATAAAGTTATAAATCAAAAAATTTTACTGTGGTGAGATAAAAATTATATTCAGAAAAAAACCGCAGAAATTTAAATAAACAGCTAAAAAAATAATAACAACTTTGTCTTGTTGGATTCTCTTCAACCTCTTCGGATAGTCCTTAAAATACTTTTATAGCGAAGGATTTTCTTATAGAAATAACATTAATTATAATTTAAAACAGATACAATAGGCTATATATTATTTTTTTAATAAAAAAAATCCATTTACTTAAGAATGAAATGATTACATGTTTGAAATGTTTTCATTTAATGAATCGAATAAGTTTGTTTCCCGTAAATATTTTAGAAGAATATCAATTATATATATTTGACTCGTGAAAAAATCCGTGACAATAAGACATTGTGAAGTTTGAAAAATTGACGTAACGAGAGGAATGTTCTCTATTGATCGCCCAGATACCATACCACTTGTTAAATACTTAGGTTATCAAAGCAGAAATACTTATAAGAAAATAGCTTTAATCTATTTTTCGTTAGATTATATAAGATAGAAATTTATATAAGAACGAAATAGCGAATAAAGGTTAGGTTAACATTAAAAATGTATAAATTTTATAATGTGTATAATTTGACATAATAAGTACTCTATGGAAATCTAGTGAAGGATTATTTTAATCATTTGATTAGTGATCCCTGTAATATCAGATTATATTATTTACTACAGCAATACTTTTAATGTTAATGAATGATCTAAATGTATTCTTAATGACATTGCTTATCATAAATAAATAAATATTTACTGAGCTCCAGTAAATAAAATAAGTATTTTTGCAGAATTAATGCAATCTAATGATAATTTAAAATAGATCTTAAAAAACTTCGTTATTTTTTTATTGTTTTTTTTCTGTAAATGCAATGCGTACGGAAAGAAATGTTTATTGGTCTCTGTGGTAGCATAAATCTATTTACATTCGGAGTAACTCTTGGTCGTCAAAATGTGTGTGAAGCTATGTAGACTTCACGAAATCATTTCATTTATCTAGATTTATAATAATGTTGAACTGGAAATTGTTATCTTAATGTGTGTCTCTTTGTAATTTTATTTAAGATCTATGCTGAACTTTTCCTATCTTTCAATCAGCTATACATATGTAAGTCGTTGCATTAATATTAAGGTTCCATTAGTTTCTCCATTAGGAAATTTATTCTTTAATTTCTTAAATTACAATTATAATTCTATTTATTGTTAAATTGGTCTTTATAGAAAATTGTTATTGGCATTTTAATGTTTATAAAACCTATTTTGCTTTGCCGTTTTCTGATTTACACTAAAATTATTTTGTCAGTTATTTTATTTTATTTTTTTGTTAGTCGAATATATTGACTTTTTTTTATAAAGAAAAAGACCATCCCATCTGGAGTAGATCATTTTATTGGAAAACAATCAAATCCACGTGACACACTATTCTTAACACGATGTTCTAATTTTCTTCTATTGAAAATTTCATCTGCTATTGGAAAAAGATGAAAACCGACACTGAAATGGAAATCGAAAATGAAGAAAGATTATCGAAAAGCATATGACAATACATTAGTAAAAAAAACTTTATTTATTTTTTATGAAATATAAATTTTTAAGAATAGGAATTATTATTTAAAGGACGTGGAATCAAATAAAAATTATTATTTCGTATTTAGTGAAAAGAAGTTTACTTCTATCAATTATTTATGGACGTATTTTTAATATAGTATTGGTTATACAAAACAAAAACAGGCTGTAGACACTAACATCAAAAGATTGTCGTCTGAAATCTCCTTTCTGGCAATCCTTTTCCTCAATTAATGGCTGATATCATTGCCTAAGTCTTACTATTGAAAAGCCTTCAAAATGCCACAAAGGATTCACCGGCTTTATTGTACAGGTGTATACTTTTATCTGCTAATTAAAAGACACACATTTAATTATGAACGGCATTGCTAATTATTCATTTAAAATTTAATATAGCAATATATTTTATTACAAAAGTTATATTTATTCTCACTACTACTTGGAGGGAAAGTTTGTTCTTTACAACTAACACACACGAATCCTTAAAATACAGAAATGATAAATGGAAGCGATATGATTATTTATATCGCTGACTCTTGCTCAAATTGCATGATAACAAATAAGAAACTCTTCAAAGCAGCTGCTGGAAACATGGAATGCAATCGGCTTCCTTTCACTTTGCATATATTAACAGTAAGGGATACCATATAGATAGATGATCACTTCTTCGCCAGTACGTTAGCAAGATTGAGTTTGGCAGCCAACTTTCTCGTATATGGGAAAACTTTTTTCTGTATGATGTGAGTATTTGAGTAGGATAAAAGTAAGAAAAAAAAACTACTGATGTGAACTTAAATTATACAGTACGATCGAAGAAAGTTGGATGACTTTGTCTAGGAAATTCTACGCTTGGAATTTCTAAATGACAAATGCTAGCTGAGAAAAATGATTGATTTGTGAAAGGTGATTTGACACTGTTTTTGCTCGACACTTTTGGGAAACTGTCAAATACAGAAAACATACTAAAATATTTTCTTTTCTGAAGTTCATTTATTGAATCAACTTGGATAACTATGGATGGACTTATTTACTTAGTCCGAACGAATACATTTTGAATAGAAATACTTTTTATTGAACATGTTTGTATGCTATTTACATATATAACGTATCTTCAGGAAAATGTTTTTGATGTACATAAGCTTATATTAAAAGCTTACTCATTATATTTTTTGAGTATCAATATATAAACCAATAATAATGTTTACTAATGATTAATAAATGTCACATACGTAATATTTTGTGTGCTAAACTATAAATCTATTTACTTTGTAAACATTTGAAAACTTCCTGCTATTTCTATATTTCCAAATATATATAGGCTATATATTTTTTTCAGTAACAATGTCATAAAAGCGTATTGATTATATACATTTTAAAAATATATATTTACAGAATTTTTGTTCAAACTATTTATCATCAAAAATTGCTCTATAAAAATTGTTTTGAATATTTTATCTTCAGAAACAGATTAAACATTTGGGATGATTTTTAATCAAAGAAAATTGTTTTTAGAAAAAAACAAACAAAATTCTTTGATCTAACCGAAAATTTCTTAATGGATTTTGAATTATTGTATACACAATATAACCAATGATGTATAGCTATTTGTCTTCTTCTAGAACATAGATAAGTACATTTTATACTTTTTCTTATTTATAATTTAATTTAGTACGGTTTCTGTTTAAAAAATAAATTTTAAATACAATTTATAAAGTATTGAACATTTAATATTTATTTCAGGAAATATTCGATCGAAAATATTTAATTATATCTGTAAAATGTATATATTTTAGAATAAATTTTTAACAACATTCTTAAATTCTATTTACGAGATGTTATTGCTTAGTAGGCAGAAAGCAGTAGTTGGTTATTACTTTAGAAATTAAAGCCGTTAGGCAGAAATCAATTAATTTCAAACTTTAATTATAAACCTCTTAGTTTTTGAACAAGATGGATATTATCTTTAAGTGACCATCACTACCCACTTCAGTTGTTAAGTTAAATTATCAGGTTTTTTTCCTTTTTCTTGAAGAGAATTATATAATAAATTTTAAAAGTGCTTCTTTATGAAAACGAATAAAATTTATAATTGTTTATACTCAAAGTATATTTTAACTCTGTAAACATGAAAGAGATTCTTCATAAAATGTAACTTGATATTTTTATTTTAAAAACAAACTCTATATAAATAATTTTAAAATAAATATTTAAACCTTTTGCAAGAAGATTTTCTAGTCATTATACGAAAATTGCATTCTTTTTTTTCTGTTTCTGTAATCTAAAAACTACGAGGCATATTTTTTTCGAGTTTTTTTTTTTATCTCGAAAACACAATATTGGCTGGGTTCTATTTGATAACTCGGAAAGGTTTGATATAAACAACTGTTCATTGTTATACAGGTGTATTCCCTATACTGAATCGTCTTTTCCTTTTTTTTTTCCTCTGGTATTGATCGTAGTTAGATTGCGAGGAGAAATAGAATTATGTGCGGCAATCTAGAATTGAGCTTAGATTGTCTGCCATTGACGAAAAATTGAACATGGAGACAGAATTATCTAAAGAATATAGTGGCATTGTTCGAGTAGTATAGGTTATTCCGATGCTCAACTTTGGTAATATCTTGGGAGAGATAAGAAGAAGCTTGGATTCCGAGATTTATATTCTCTAGATAGGAATTATTCAAAATTGAAATGTATTCATGAAAAATATACCTGTTCAGAATCAAATATTGAAAAGGTTATTTACGAAACTCGGTTATTCGCATTTAAAGAGAGTTTCGAAAGATAACCTTATTGTGTTTTTATTGATTTGCGTCCTAAAGATTAATTAAAAAAAAAGAAATATTGCCTCTTCTAATAATGTTAGAAAATAGTCAATAATAATATTTTTCTTTTTTAATATAATTTTCCAAAAATAATATTTTGAAAAATGTAACAAAATTATACTCTTTCCATATTTAATGTATCTTGGCTATCGATAGATGGAAGGCAATAAATTTAGATGAGTCGGGCAACCGTTCTCATATTATCATTTGCGAGTTACATTAAAATGTGAATATTACCCGAAGGCATATTTTAACGATCACTTATGCAGCGAATTTGGTTGTCATATCGACTACAAGCAATTTTTTTCGTTTGAAAGAAGAGTAATGCTTATTTAAGTGGAAAGTATCAAGTATTTTCAAATGTATTATAACAGATTTATTGTAAATTAATTTGACTTAGGTAAAGAAATATCAAAGTTATATATGTACTAAAGGCGTAAATTAAATCGTAAATGTTCTTAATATGCAAAAGTTTGCATTTCGAGTGATTAAGGACGATTTTACACTTAACACAAAGCGTTTAAACGTTAGCTGTGGATAGTTAAATGTAAATGGATTGCGA